GAATTGAGGATTGGTCGAATCGTACAAGCTTTGAATCAATCGGATAAGGAAATTACTGCAAATTGTACGAAAGTTTTCAAGAATCAAATTGTAGGAAAGTTGCTCTTGGGTTTTTCGGGCTTTGGTTTGGTGTGCTAGGGATGGGGTGCGTGGGGTTGGGGATGGAAAGAAGAAGAAATTTTATTTTTTATTTTTTATCTTTTTCTTATTGATCTTTGATTTAATTATTTTAATTTAATTGGTTTTTATGTGAATTTTTTTTTTTTTTAAAAAGATTATTTTTGGGGAAGAAGATGAAGTGGGGGTAGGATGGAGTAGGGTAAAAATAAAGTTTTAAAGATTTGATATTGTGGGTGGCACATATAAAATATTTGGATTTAATTTGTAAAGAAGTAAAAGTTTGGATACTGAATTGAAATGATTTCTTTTTAATTTTAACATTTTTTTATAACTATTTTTAGCGAAAAATCAGACGGATATTGACGGTAGGAGGGATATTTCTCACAAAAGGTTTCAAATATGGGAGTTTTATGCAATTTTCAATAGATATGAGGTATATCGTAAATGAAAATTACTCGTTTTGGTTGTCTGGGTTTTGGTTTTTTATGAGATGCTATGTTTTGGTCTTGTTATATTTTGATTTTTTTCTTATTGGATCTGCGTTGAAAACCAGGACAATTTAACCTTTTATTACACCATAAAACTGTTTTTTTAAGTAATTTGGTGGAAATAAAAGGAGTTTTGAATTGGTTTAAACTTTAAAGAAAAGACTTTGATACATTAAGCGACCGTTTGGCAATTATTATTTCAAAACATTTTTTTTTTACATACTCATTTCAACAACACATTCACGCAATAAAATATTCTGTACGTAAATCCAAAATTTTTTCATACTTTTTAATCACACATTCTTCAAAAAAAAAACTATTCAAGATTTCATTTTATTCAAATAATAGTTGTTAAATAGGGACTTATAATAATAATAATAATAATAATAATAATAATAATAATGAAGTATCGACTTGGATTCAGTGGGCCTAAGGAAGAAGGCTATATTATGTT